CCAATATCTGAACATCAAGAACAAATTTTTTTCATTACCCACCAAATAAAAATAGTTGGAGAACTTGAAAAACAACAACATGGGTTGTTTACCCGAGAGCCTCTCTTCATTTTTCAGCAACAGATGGCTGGTTTTCGTGGCTGCGATGTGGATGCAGTCTTGTGCTGGGATTGGGTACTTATTCGGTAGTATCTCCCCCACGATAAAGAGCTCCTTGAACTACAATCAGAGGCAGGTGGCCCGATTGGGCGTGGCTAAAGATTTAGGCGACAGCGTGGGTTTTTTAGCCGGTGGGTTATCTGAGATTTTGCCCTTGTGGGGTGCTATTCTCGTTGGCGCTCTTCAGAATTTTGTTGGGTATGGTTGGGTTTGGCTTGTGGTCACTCGTAGAGTTCCTGTTTTACCGCTCTGGGCTGTGAGTAGATATCTCTTCAAATTTATTCTTTTTAAATTGATGATTTTAGTTGGCTGCTGCTGCTTTTGAAGCTCTTGGGTTGTTTGAGTTGAGACCATCCATCTTGCTAGCTAGTTGGTACTATTTCTTGTCAAGTGTTTAGTTTTCTTTTTATAGCTTTTTTTTTTTTTTTTTTTTNNTTTTTTAAAATGTCTTACATTCTTAATGTTTGAGTTTGACAGAAATCATCTGGGGTTCTTCATTGTTGATCTCTTTTGCTATATTTTTTTTTCTCTCTTTGAAATAAGACATTTTGCTGTTTTGGATCATTTGTGCGTGGATGTGTTTTTTCTGGTTAGATTCATCTTTAGTGTTTGATTTTATATGATCTGGGATCCGATTCCTTTTTCGATTTCGTTATAGGATTCACTAAATTTTCAGTTTTTGAGTTATTATGTTTTTTTCTAGTCAATAGTCATGAGCTGATTTGAGGTTGAAATGGGTATATTCTTGCAGTTTGTGGATTTTGTCACTCTTGCATTTTCCTCATTGTCATTGCTGGAAAACATCTTTTTTTTTTCCTGTAAAAATCCCGTTCATATCTTCAGATGTTCTCCAAAAACTAATTCCGCTTATTCAAGTTTTCGATGGGAACATATTCGATCAGCACTGATATGAAATACAGCAGCATTAGATAATTATAGTAGATCTTGTGCTCTTGCCCAGTTTGATCCTATTTTAGCTACTTCTCTTCTTTTT